TGGTCAATCAGAGCACACCTCGCTTTTCAGACTGATGAGCTTTGTAAAAATCGACGCGTTTCAGAAAGGCGGGGCATAGAGGAGCAACAATAATGTACAGTATGTGGAAAATAATGTGTTTTTTTAACCTTAAACCGCATAAACACATTTCATTACACCAAATACACAAAATAATGTTCTTTTTAGCAACACCATATGACCCCTTTAAAATCGGCTCAAAATATCAAACGTTTGATGAATTGGACTGGATAGAATCAGAGTCGCTAACCAATCCAAGTTTCTGCTCATCATACACTATGCGATTTTCTAATAAATCTGTAAACGCAAATCTGCTGACTAGCTCTGACTTTCATCAACTAATAGTGAATTGTCCAGACTGTAAAATGGTGCAAAAGTTGTGTAGTGTATTCCAGACTTTAGTAAAGTTACGGCACGGATGAAGCTAATTTTAAAGCTAGCCACATGAATAACAACATCCATTTTGGAGCCCTGAGAGGCAAAGATAAAGGAAAAAGCTAATCAGAAAAAGACAGAGGAAATAAAAAAAAGAAGAAAAGAAATAAGAGAAAAAAATATATTAATGCACTTCCATCAGAATGAATTTTAAAGAGTGAACATCTACAGCAGATGACATTAATCAAGCACTCGGTCTGTCTGAAACATCATCTACCATCTAATTTAACCAAAGAACTGTAATTTAATTCCTCACTTGTCTGGGGGATTTCAAACTAGTTTTTATAAAGCTCCTCATTTGCATTAGCTGTATTATACTGAAAATCATCTCAGGTTCGTAACTGCAAATGCTTTAAACACACCTGTGCATAAAGACACGGCATTAAAGAAAAGAACAAGATTCAGTGCTCACCACACTTACAATGTGAACAAAATACGGTGTGACAGATTAACTTGATATTGAGACATAATTACGCCTCATGCCACTCCATTCAGCAAAAAGACATTTTCAAGAACTTTAAGGTACATGTTTCATCTTCACTTTAAATGGGAACAATAAGTTATTCACTGACTGATTTCCTCAAAGTGTAAAATAAGGGTTAGGCAGTAAAAACAATTGTTATTTTGTGATCTAAATGCTCAAATAGAGTAAGCAGAAAAGTTTGAATATTCATAGAAAAAAATATCTTGACTAGCCCAGCTATGCAGCACTGAGGGATTGATCAGGACACTAGTTTTAAATTCACTTTAATGCAAAAAGCACCTTTAAAAGTACCTTTAACCCAAGTAACTGTATAGCAACAAGCTAAAAAACACCCAGGACACCCTAGCAACTGCATAGCAACTTATTAAAACCACCCTAAACACCCTAGCAACTGCATAACAACATGTAAAAAACACCCCAGTAACTGCATAGCAACATATAAAAAACAATACCCCAGTATAACTGCATAGCAACTTACTAAAAAACACCCTAGTAAATGCATAGCAAAATGTAAAAGAAACACCCAGTAACTGCATAGCAACATGTAAAAAACAATACCCCAGTAACTGCATAGCAACTTACTAAAAAACACCCAGAACACCCCAGTAACTGCATAGCAACATATAAAAAACAATACCCCAGTAACTGCATAGCAACTTACTAAAAAACACCCAAAACACCCTAGTAACTGCATAGCAACATATAAAAAACAATACCCCAGAATAACTTCATAGCAACTACTACAAAACACCCCAAACACCCTAGTAACTGCATAGCAACATGCAAAAAAAGAAAAAAACAACAATACCCCAAGTAACTGCATACCAACTTACTAAAAAGATTCACCCAGAACACCCTAGTAACTGCATAGCAACATATAAAAAACACCCAGAACACCCTAGTAACTGCATAGCAACTTACTAAAAAACACCCTAGTAAATGCATAGCAAAATGTAAAAGAAACACCCAGTAACTGCATAGCAACATGTAAAAAACAATACCCCAGTAACTGCATAGCAACTTACTAAAAAACACCCAGAACACCCCAGTAACTGCATAGCAACATATAAAAAACAATACCCCAGTAACTGCATATAGCAACTACTACAAAACACCCCAAACACCCTAGTAACTGCTTAGCAATGGACTTGCAACGCCCTGGCAACCACCTAGCACATCCAAGTAATTAAAAAAGCAAAACACTTAACACCACTTAGAACATCCTAGAAACTGCATAGCAACATGCAAAAAAAAAAACCCACCTCAGTAACTGCATAGCAACTTACTAAAAAACACCCCAAACACCCTAGTTACTGCACAGCAACATATAAAAAAACAACACCCCAGTAACTGCATAGCAACATACTAAAAAAACACCCAGAACACCCTAACAACTGCATAGCAACATGCAAAAAAAAAAAAACACCTCAGTAACTGCATAGCAACTTACTAAAAACCACCCAGAATGCCCTAGTAACTGCACAGCCACATGCTTAAGAACACCCGGAACCCCCTAGTAACCACGTCGCACCGTCCTAGCAACCACCCAGAATTACAAAGTAGCCAAAATGTAAACACATCTACCTCTATTTAACAGTTCAATAAACACTCCAGCACTTAAAAACACCAGCTGTATGGGTTCATAAACCCACTGTGTGCTTCACAAATGCATTTGCTTTCATATAAAGCCGGCGGAAGGCTGAACACGTAAATAGTCAGCGTTTGGCTTCAAACTGTCAATCACACAAAGGAAATTGCTTTATGTATGAACAAGTGGCGGAAATGTCAACGTCTTACTTAAGGGCAGAGTGTCATTCAAGACGGCTGCTCTTCTGTCGCGCAACATTCGCAGTATCAAGCGTGTTGTAACTGATGCACAATGCCGACACCTGTGCAGCCAATTTTCGTTAAAAACGACCGCAAGACAATGAAGTTTGGGGAAGAGAGGTTTAGATGCAGCCTGTAATAACATGGCAAGAGCCGTGGCGTCAGGGGCAGGTGTGCGTGAGTCATACACCATACATCCAGCTGGGCACGGTGAACGCCGATGCTTCCAGACACGTCAAGAGTCTGTTTGCACCGACACACGGGGGAGGGACTCGACAGTGAACTCCAGAAGTTAAAAAGAGACGAAAGCGAGCGCTGAGGGCACTAGAGACCGGAATGATCGGCGTTTCAAAAACGGTGTCAAGCGCTGATATGCGAAACAATGACGGCTGTTATTAAACACAGATTCTGCGGGCCTGATATCTTTGGCAAGAAAAATGGTTTAGTTGGCACACAAGAGTCTGATACAGGGAACATGGTTAATGACTCACACCTGTTTAGGAGTCACCACCGCGGCTAAATGAGGCTGGAATGTGCTCCGTCTATCCGTGATTGTCTCCCCGTGTTTAATCAGTGGCAACTCTTCATCTACAACAAAAAACAAACAACAAAAGCAAATAAAAGCAGTCCTTTGAATGACTGGCGAGCCACTAATGACTAATTAACTGGATTCGCTTTACACAAGACGTGCCTGTCATCGGTACTTTGAACCTGACCTGACACTTTACTTTCTCAAAGCTCAAGTGCTTGCAGAACTTCCCACTTTTCATGATTAGATCAATTTCGTGTTGATAAAATAAAACGAGTCACGGACAATGGGTCTCATTTACTAAGCATATATATACTAGGGATGCAACAACAATACAGTGAGCCCATGGTTCAATACATACCTCGGTTTTTAACCACGGTTTTCGGTTCTGATGGCTTGGCACATCAGTGTGTTTTTTGCAACAAATTAAAAACAAAAAAGTCCTGTAAACTTCTGTACACTGGAAAAAAAGCGTGGATTATTATATGTCTACCTAAAATGTATTTTGACAGGTATTATTTTTCCGATTTTACCCCAAAATAGGATGATTTGGCCATTATTGAGCGCTACAAACACATGTAATCATACTGGTAGCCAGAGGGCCCAAGTATAAGCATAAACTGAAATCTGTGCATTAATGTTTTCGCGAACAAATCACGATTCACCAATAACTTTCATACTAAAATGCATTCTAAATTTACGGAAAAATTTATGAAACCATACGTACACAGCAAGCACATGCAGAGTCATGAGACTGGTCTTTAGAGAGTATCATATGTTTGTTGAGACTGACGAAAGGCCGTAAAATCAAGATTTTCTCTTAATCCTTGGGCATGCAGTCGCTCATTTAGAATACTCCAAATTCATTAACATTAGCGAATTCATGTGCGTTTTGTGAGTTCAAGTTTTGCAAGACGTTGTCCTGTGCGTACAAATACAAGATAATCCACGCAATTAGGGATGCACTGATACCGATACTGGTATCAGTGCATCTGGTACCAGTGGTATACTGGTAATATTGGGGCATTCACTATAAACAACATTTATTTTAAACGTCAAGCATACACGACTTTATGGCTAAAGCGAATCTAGCCTGTGTAAAATGCGCTAGACTATAGGGCTGCACGATTAATCGAATGCGATTGTCATGCGCATTTTGTTAAAAAAGCCGGTTCTGTAATCAGCAGGAAATCATCATCACGTGCTTTCAGATGGAGCAGCATTTACTACACATAGCCATAGTTCACTGACAAGTTACGCAAAAAAATCGCTGACGATTGTATTGCGCGATTCTGAAATCGAAGAAATCGTTCGCGATAATGACAGCTGTTTGCATAGCTTCTCAGTGAACTACGGCTCTGTGAAGTAAATGCTGCTCCATCTGAAAGCATGTGAAAATACCACATTTAATAACATATTTTTACTCCAAACTCACTTCATAACGTCAGTTGAGTGTTTGAAATAAATCCTTCTGTGAGATGATGTGGCTTCTTACACAGAATAAGGCACGCAACATGTTTCATAGTATTTAAGCAGTGATAAAGGCATTGCGTTATAAATATACTTTATTTTAATGAAAATTATAATAATAAGAACTCAGATAAACCGTATATTGCCGTAGTCGTTTGTTTATTAGTCATGTTGAATCAATGAAAGCAGTTGAATCTTCTGTTTATTCAGCTGCAGCGATAGGCATTTTCTGGGTTTCTTCTGCGAGGCGTATTTGGAGTTTCAGCGCGAGAGCGCCCTCTGGCCTTTGGATGGAGATTTACTGCTGATCACAGAACCGTGCTTCACTGAAAGATACGCATGACAATCGCAGCTTCTGTCGAATCGCGATCTCGATTCCATTTCGATTTATCGTGCAGCCCTACTAGACTATACATGTCCCTCTCATTCACCAACACAAACGTGTGCTAACTAACATTATACATATTTTTTCGGTTTCTGTACCCAATATTTAAAAAAATTACAAATGCAACGAAAATACAGCTATCAGTACTCGGTATCGGCAAGTACCAAAAATATCGGCCTCGTTCTGGAAAAAGTGATATCGGTGCATCCCTACAAGCAATCATTAGTAATTAAGACCCAGTGTTTCTCTCTTTAGGAATTCCTTTGGAGTATGGAAATGAATGTCAATATATTGGAACATACCACCAGAAGCACTGGAGAGGAGCTGAGCTGATTGGTTGGCGAGTTTTAGCATGCTGTAGTCTGGAAGATCGTCCTCGTCGTAGTCATGAGCTTCTTCCTCTGTTGTCACCGTCTTACCCATTTCTGGTCCCTCTAAAAACACAGATACATGCGCAGGCCAATGAACTGTGGTGAAAACTAATAATTTAACAGACCATTGCACATTTCAGTCAATCGGCAAGGACGCCAAGGACATGCAATGCAATATGCAAGGCATTTTACTCTATTAAATGATATATAATGATTCAAATAAACAGTGCTCAATATGTAAATAAAGAAAGGTCAGTGACATTCTCCCACAAGCAAATAGTCCTTAAATGTCTCTTTTGAAACAACACATACTTGCACTGTTTCACCCCATAATATAATTTGAAGGGTCAAAGCGCACTTCCATCACGATTTCAAAGCAACTAAGATAAATAATGCATGGAAACATCTCAAAGAGCCTCATTCATTAAACAACAGCAGTTGAACGTAAACTGAATGCAACAATTTACACTCAAAAAAAGGCTCTTTATTGGCATTTGTGGTTCAAAGACGACACATTCGCACTCAAATCACTGGCAGTCGTTTTTCATGTGTCATTTGGAATCTTAAAACGAGAAACTAAATGAGAACTAAATGAAGTCGCAATCAGTCGTTCCAGCTGTTCTGAAGTACGGCATTAATATTCAGTGATAAAAACAGCTTTCCCACACATTCCACCAAGGAATCTCCTTGACGCCCCCATTTCCATGGTCATAGAGGCTCAAGTTTCAAAATCCCTTTTCAGAGATCGCTAGGGATGATTTTCATTTGTATGCCCTGTCAGGTACTAGGTCTTGGCATCAGGGGCGTCGGAACAATGGGAAAAGTGGGAAGAAGACATTATAAATCTCATCAGCCTCTCTTCAGAAGCACGATATGGTTTTAAATGCCTAGTTGACATTCATATGAGAAACTATTTGACGCCAAGTTCAATGATTAGACCTAAATTTAAAAAAGTGCTTTTTGCTGAAGACTTATCTGTTGTTGTTCACATCTTGTGTCCTCAGGAAGTTTGTTCAGCACACAAACTCTGTGCCAGATGTGGCTCGGATAATGAATATTAATTGCATTATGTGACGGTTGGCAGAGATTTCTGCTTGATCATAATGCTGACGTTCTACATCAAACCAAATAAACCTCTTTAAAATATCTTGCTATGCACCGAAATGTGAGAAGTAGACCCGTTTCTGAAAGTTCAAGTGGTTGCGATTAAATGTCAACGTACAAATGTCAAAAACATCCTGAGATCTGAACACATCTCAATGGGAGAATTGGTTTTCGGGGTTCCCAAGTACCTTGAAATTTCAGTGACTTCAAGGATTTCAATGACTATTCCATGTCTGGAAACCACACATTTTAAATTCCCTAACACTTCCAGCTTTTCCATGACTGTTGCCATACCCTGGTCAGTACAGTTAAGCACATATTACAACCCTTCTGACCACAAAATTAACCTCAAGATAATCTTTAAACAAACACCTGAGGGATCTCATCAGAAAATACCTCTGAAACTGCTGAGGTGCGCTTGGCTTTTCTTCCCTGTTTAGTTCAGTAAATCTGAGGCAAATCAATTTGGGAATTTAATTATAACTCGTCAAAAAATTTAACTGGTTCCAAAGCTTTAACGACCTTTGACTGCTTTCCATTTCTCCTCAACCGCCCCCACCTCTCAGTGTCAGAAGTGAATATTCATGCCCCGCGGAAATATATATATTAAAAAAAGACAACCTTTTGATCTCTCTGAGGGGCCTTCACCGCACAACCTGCTGTAACTAGCATCTCATCTGCATAATTACTGTAAAAACAGAGCTGATGTTTGCCGAGTGCAAAGAGAGGCGGCACTTTTCATGACACCGTCGAGTATTAGGCCTGTAATCATTCAGTTGATGAGGGAAGACGCTAATTACCTTCCCTCTGAAGTTTGATATTAGATTAAGTTACTTCTTCCGAAGTGACGTCACCGTCAAGCACGAGAGCCGTGTATTGGGAGCCGGGTGTATTTAGGCCTGTTTGTTTACCAAAACGTGTGGGGGGAACAAATTAGCATCGCTAAAATAATATTCGCACTACAAAAATGAAAAAACTGCACGCACACTGAGCACATCACAGCGAAACAATGGGGTTTCGGAATCGCACACGGAGTCGTCAAAGCCGAAACGTTCATTTGAAAACAAAGGAAATCAAGTTCGAACGAAACAGATGTTCAAAACAGGTAATCAAGGGCTTGATTGAACTTTGGCGTTCGTTTCTTCAAAACACTAATGAATCATTCAAAAGACAGATTCTCCGTGGGACACGGGCAACCTGTCGAAGTCATGATCTCGAGATTGAGAGTTAAACGAACGGTGTAGTAAACAACACAAGGTCGCTGTCGTCAATTGCTTCCAATTTGCTTGACATGCTGAATGCAGGTTCTTTGCCAAATCTTTTTATATCTGCACACACTAGTTACATCAGAAATTGAATTCATGGGACCCGTGTAAAATCCCTGCCAAAAAACTATTTACGGTGGTTAGCTGGTGTCTAGTTAGGCATCTATTGTTTTTAGAGGGTTTCTGGGCACTGGTTACTCCGAACGACGAGCTAACCTAACTTTAGCCGGGTACATACTACAATTCAGGCCACGATTGTCACCAGAGACAGATTTTGGAAATCACAGGCCTCCAACAAATTTCTGATGGTGTCACGGCCCTGCAGTGTAATGACTCCTACAACGGCCTAATGAAGCGAATAATGACACATGTGGAAAAACAGATCGATATAAAAACTCATTATTTAGCAACATCATATCCTGTTTCTCCTCAAGAAGTCGATCCAAATTATGCTTTTTGCATCCTACAGACTTCTGCTGACAAATAAACACTGATATCTGGGTGCAGGAGAAAGACGACACAGTTCATTTTCCTCTAGACATTGTTTGGAAATTGGTAAACTTATCCTTTAACCAACAACAACAATGAAAGTGTAAAGAAAAATGGCTTTAGACCAGCAATATCCTGCATTCATACAGCGATTAAACTTCCTGAGGTCACACAGTTTCATGGTTTCTAGTAGGTGCTCATGCAGTGGATCACCATCTGCACTGCATCTCCAGATTGATTTTGTCAGCAGGGATGTGTCTCGTATCCAGGTGTCTTGATAGGATGTCAAGACTCAACGTGCAGAACGCTTACTGATGGGTGAAGGTCAAATCAGAAGGTCTGTTTAGCGCTGTGATTACATCCTTGATTACCATCGTTTCATTTTGTCACCTTGAACCATTTGCTAGTAAAGCTGCACTACTTCAAGACTTATCACTCGAACTTTGTTACGTCTACAAACATGTAATTTTGTTTCTATTAAAGGGTTCTAATGAGGCAAGATCTGATACGTTCGCCAACCCACACGCCTGTAATTGAGTGTCCTTCTTTCTACATCTGAGTTTATGGAGTGTGGCACCTTACGAAGACCTCGTGGCAAGGCGAGACTTAAAATAATTAATGGGACTTGGCTAACGAACAGGACGGCTAGTCACGCGCCCATTTCCATTTTTTTCCCTCCATTCAGTTGGAGCTCCATTTCCCTCTTGAGCGCGCCATTCATGGAAACTCATTTGCATATTAAACCGTTGACATACATACATAATTTCAGTCGCAATTATCACATTCAGCGAAAGGCGTGGGAGAGCGGTCCTTCAAAAACAATAGCTTTTAAGGATTCGTACGGCAGTGGACTATCGTCTGACCGTTAACCAGTGATAAGCCTAGATTAAAATGCATACTGCTCATACTTGTATGGAACAACAAGTAACAAGTAACACTTAACATTGATAACCAGGTGACGTTATTTGTAGATTGCAATAATTTTTTGCATCTACATACCACCAATGGGTAATTAGTTTCTATTGTGGCACGTTACTGGCAGACAGAGCTACAAATCAAATACTTAAACGTTGCAATTATGAGCTTATTATGGGATACTAATGAGACGTTCCTATATGATGGGAGATCATGGAACTGACAAACAACAGGAAATTATGTAACAGATATACTGTAAAATGCTTACGAGCAGGATGCAGATAAATTATGTGTAAAAAGACAAAAAAAAAAAAAAGAAGCTCACCACTTGCAGACTTGGCCTCCTCTCAAAATGCCTCCCTCCCAAACAAATCAGCCAATCTCGAACATGCAAAAATGATTGACAGGCATCCACTACCTCACATTTTTGATTGAGCCAAAAATAAAAAGCACAGCCAGCACTCAGCAAGATTCTTCTTTTGCGCTTTAAGGAATCAGCGGCTGTCATGGAGTGTGATTTCTCAGGACACCTCGTGAGCTTTCGGGTAATAGGGACATTTTATGTGGCAGAAAAATGCCTACAGCACCTTTATGCAACAGATAAACATCTCTATACTCAGATTAACTGTACTTGGGGAAAAAAAAAGTGTTATCGACCCAAGCTAACAAAGCAAATTCCCTTCTTTAAAAAGGTTTAAAAATAAAAGATTTTCTCCCCCTTCCAAGATGAAACGAGCTGAGTGTCAAAACCCATCAGGGTCAATTCTTGGACTTGCCACTGACCTCATGGGAACTTTTAGAGCCCTGCTGAAAAAGATTAACAGGTTCTGTCAAGGCAGCACAAGTCTTTTCATCGATTACGATCAGATCTCCCCAACGCCGAGGTCTGTGACAGGAGGGAGAAGGAGCGCTCTTAAAAAACCATCTACCTTCGCTGCGGCAGGCTGCTGTGTTCATTTTATCCAAACAATTCGACTTTATTGAGATGGCTAGATCAAAGGCATGGATCCAATATCCGGCGTGCAATAATTATGGCAAACATTATGTTCAAAGGCAAGAAAGATTTGAGGCGGACAATGAGGAGAAATGACACGGGAGCGAGCGACAGGGCTACTCTAAGTGAAAAGCATCCCAACGTTTTGCATCGTGTGGCGATTCACAAGAATTTCAATATGCAGGGAAAAAGTGTGAACGTAGAACGTAGAACTCTGCCATCCAGAGATTGGACTTGTGGGTACTGACTCATGGGATATTATATCCTGTCAGGTGCTGAGGTCCTGTCAACCGCCCACTCGGTATCTACAGGGTTATTTATATTTTCATGACTATAGCACACTGAAGTGAACCTTCCTGTAGCTCAAACAAGTAGACTATGACGCTAACAATAACAAGGTCATGGGTTCGATTCCCAAGGAAAGCAAGAACTGATAGAATGTGTACCTTGATTGCATTTAATAAAAAGCATCTACCAAATGCATAAATGTAAAAGTAACCTGATGTTGGCACAAGTATTTACAACCACAACCACAGTTTAACCTTCAAAATTAGTTTGTCAAGTCATTCCAAACCAGTATGACCTTTGTAAGATGCTTTGTAGAACATTGGGAACTGATATGACTCTGGAACCCATTGACTTTCATGGTATGAACAGAATAAACACTGCAACATTTGTCAGAATATCTTTTTTTGTGATATGTGATAAACTGCTTTGGATATCCCCATTTGGAAGCTGATTTTGATAAATGGGCAAGCTATATTTTGTAGAACGTTGGGAACCAACCAACTTTGGACCCCATTGACTTTCATTATATTAATGGGATAAACACTTCAGCATTTTTCAAAATATCTTCTTTTGTGATATATGATAAATTGCTTGGGTTTAGGGCTGGACAGTATGACCTAAAACCTAAACCTCCATTAATTGAACACTTTACCTTGATTACGATTATTGAACGATTATTTTATTTTGGATTTTTATTTTTTTGCCCTCATGGTTCATTATAGGTTTGTACTGTAAATATACTCAACTATTAAACGTGGGATATTTTTTTTCTAATGAAAGAGTGCATTTCTTATCTTTGTGATTTTAAAATAATTGAAGGAAACAATCTATTTATGGTTATTTGTCGAAATCAAATTAAATTAAATTAATCGAAATCAAAGCTTGCTTGAAATGAAGATGTCTTATGAAAAAATTCACATTTCAGTTTTTTTGCAAAAAAATAAAATGGAAAAATAGAAAATAAATCCTTTTTTTGCAAACAAAATAAATGAATATTGCCATGTCAATAGTAGAAAATATCCAGTATTTCTTGCAAACAAAATACATTTTAAATATCGTCATGGGAAATCAGGAATGGTTTTTAAAAAGGCGTATCGCAGAAGCAAAAGCAAAAAGTTGCCATACCAACCTACTACTGTAAACAAAAGCTGGCAACGCTTACCCCGCCCCCGGGTTCTTCTGATTGGTCCACTGTTTTGGAACGGACATTGATGAGTGGCTCTGCTGCGTGTAAAAGTTTAAATTACTTAACGCGCCACTCACGTGTGAAACGCTGCAAAAGACTCAAGCGCAACGGTCATACACGTCCGTAGAGCGCCGACTACACACACGGTAGTATGTTTTTAAGGGGAAAGTTATTTAAAAAAATTAAATAACTGACATGGAAAAATTATGTCGGTTAGAAGTTCAGAATTTTGGTTTCAATTTCTTTTCGATAAATAGTCCAGCCCTACTTGGGATATTCCCATTTGGAAGCCACTTTTGATAAAAGCACCATATAGGTATTTTGTAGAACGTTGGGAAACAACTTTTGACCCCATTGAATTTCATTGTATGGACAAAATAAACACAAACGTTTTTCTTTTTTTTGTGTGATTTATGATAAATTGTTTGGGATATTTTCATTTGGAAACTGGTTTTGACCACTGACTTTCATTGTATGGATGGAATACACGCTTGAACATATTTCAAAATATCGTCTTTTGCGATATATGATAAATTGCTTGGGATATTCTCATTTGGAAGCTAATTTTGCTAAAAGCGCCAGCTAGATGTTTTGTTGAATGTTGGGAACCAAACTACTTCGGACCCCATTGACTGTCATTGTATGGATTAAAAAAACACCGCTACATTTTTCAAAATATCTTTTTTTTATATATATATGATAAAATGCTTGGTATATTCCCATTTGGAAACTGCTTTCGATAAAAGCGTCAGCTAAATGCATAAATGTTTTCTGAAATCCAATCCAAGCCATATTTTCCAATGCACTGTAACTGCATATTTATCTATACACCACAATCTCTTGACTCTGCCAGCACTTACAGCGTGACTATGCCGAGTTTATATAACTTCCTTGGTTATTGAGATGCTGCTCTCCACCTACCAGTTTCGAAGATTCAAAAGAGGCTGCTTTGCGTGAGCTGAAGGGTCTATTACTTCTAGGTTAATGACAGGCCGTGTACCTGATTGCCGGCAGGCCCCGTGCACCTGTTTCATTTACATTTTCCTGTACATTTCCGCAGAGAACGCCGTATGCCTCCTATTCTTTTCAAAGGGCTGATGAAACCACAGACCCAAACATTTGCTTGATTTCTCTATGTCGAGCACCTATGCTTTTTTCTTCTTCTTTATATTACCTGCCGGTGGAACGCCGAGTTCCTTAAAAGCCGGAGCGAATAAATGACAGCGTGATTCCCCTCCTGACTCTAATTCTCCCGCTTTCCAGAGTTCACTTTACACGAAAATGAGCGCGTTTCCAGCGTGGCGCTCAAAACAACACAACAAAACCCTAGTGGGGCTTTAAAACAGAGGGCAATTATTTCACAGAAGGAGCGTCTGGTGCTGTGACAAAATCCAAACACACAAACGCTCCGCAGTCTGTGTCTGTAATGAGAAGACGCAACTTTAGTGGACCTCTCCCTGTCTGGTTTTACTTTCTGTAAGCGTGTCTATGTTCTACAGAACATAAAGTTGAAAAGTTTCTCTCAGCGAAGCAGCATAATATGCATCGAAATCAACACTGGCTTTATGAGACATGCAAGAATCGATGGCATTCCTGCCAATGACACCAAACACACCACATTAAAAATAAAGAGAGGTGGGGAAGATTAAGCAATAACGCCTTGTGTATGGGTCGTATGAGCTGTTCGTGCAACAGGTAAGTCTAATGCTTCACGTGTATTTGTGAACAGAATATGGACTTCATCTAATTTCTCACCCTATTTATACAGATATGCATCAGTCTTGCATAATAAAGATTGATTTGAGCCTCTCACATCACATTTCATCTACTGCCCCCTACTGTACAACCCCATATCAGCACAGTTATTACTTCCGCAAAGCCACTTTCATTACTAAAAGATCATTATTAAGAAATTACAATAACGATAACTAAAGTTCAGGCCGATCCAGGCTAATTCAGCACAAGCTGCATTAGTTCTTACCTGCACTTTGTGATTTTTCTGCGAGGAATTCTCTTATTTTCTCCACCCACAGGTACAGGATACTCTCCCCTGTATTCTCCCTATATATAACAGATAATGTGATGGAATAAAAGGCTCATATTATACTGAATACATTTTGTTTTTCATAACACATGACATGCACGGTTATGAAGCTCTACATGAAGTCTCTGCAGACTCACGCCACACTGACAACACATACTCACACATACAGCTCCTCTAAACTGTTGGACAGAGTCGTTCTGTCCGCTCCTCTGAGCCAGCCAGCGCTGTCAGGACAAAAACAACATGTCAATCGCACATCGTATTCAGTTCCCAACACAAAACTCAAACGGCAAGCAATCAGACATAACGTTACTTGATCTGATATATCGGAGGCGCTGAGCTCGGGTAATCTGGAGGAAGTATGATCTTCAAACAAACAGAAACGCACATTAAACATTCATAAACACACGTGTGACCCTGGAGCACAAAGGCAGTCATAAGTAGCACAGGTATATTTGTAGCAATAGCCAATTGTATGGTTTTCTTTTATGCCAAAAATCATTAGGATATTAAGTAAAGATCATGTTCTAGGAAGATATTTTGTGAATTTCCTACCGTAAATATATCAAAACTTAATTTTTGATTAGTAATATGCATTGCTAAGAACTTCATTTGAACAACTTTAAAGATGATTTTCTGAATATTTAGATTTTTTTGCACCCTCAGATTCCAGATTTTCAAATAGTTGTATCTCGACCAAATATTGTCCTATCCTAACAAACCATACATCAATGGAAAGCTTATTTATTCAGCTTTCAGATGAGGTGTAAATCTCAATTTTGAAAAAATTGACCCTTTTGGCTGGTTTTGTGCTCCAGGCTCACATTTAGCACATTCATAAGTCTGATCTGCGACTCTCACACCTGTAAACAGAGCGTTAGTCTGGGCCGCTGCGAGTCATCTGAGACTCTGATGCAGAAAACTCTGGCCGCTTCATCGATCACACACCACTCCTCCGCGTAGATGGAGGACAGCGCCTCGATCTCCTCGATCTGCAACACAAATGATATTTTCTATCCCCTAACCCTAAACCTACCCCTTACAGAACCTGTCTGCACTGTAACACTTTCAGATAAACATAATTTACTACTTTTAATCATCTTTTTCCTCGTGTCAAAAATTTCAAGTTTTACACACACACACTGTGTTTCTATTTTTTTTACGCGGACTCTCCACAGGCATAATGGTTTTTATTCTGTACAAACTGTATTTTCTATCACCCTACACCTAAACCTACCCCACACAGGAAACTTTCTGCATTAGATTTTCATAAAACTTCATTCTGTATGATTTATAAGCTTGTTTCCTCATGGTGACCTAAAAAAATGTGTGTGTGTGTGTGTGTGTACCTGTTATTTATAACATTATGGGGACCAAATGTCCCCACAAGGACAGTAATACCAGTAAATTTGGACCTTGTGGGGACATTTAGTCCCAATAATGTGATAAATACCAGGTACACACACACACACACTCACACACACACACACACACTCACGCACGCACACAGATTATTATTTTTTAAATAAATCTAACAAACTTTAACAAGGTTTATACGTAAAGCAATAAAAAAATGTGCAGCTAAAAAAAGAAATCTTATCATTTGTCAGGCAACAATAATTAGTAAAAATATCTAAACATTCTTAAAAGGAAAAGGGGAAAAAACTAGATTTAAAGCTAAATTATGGAGGATAAAATAGAATATTACATATAATCTGAGATATTATTTAACAGGTACACACACACCCACACACACACACACACGCACACACACGCACACACTCACGCACACACTCACGCACACACTCACACTCACGCACACACACACACACGCACACTCACGCACACACTCACACACACTCACGCACGCACGCACACGCACGCTCACGCTCACGCACACACACTCACACTCACACTCACACGCACACACACAATGCTCTCAATGTCAAATGCAGAAATGTTAATCCATGCGTTT